CGGGACGCTCTCTCGACTATCGGCCCGACCACCTACACCGACCTACGGAATAGACAGAGAGGAAGGGTGGCTGCCAAGGGGGTTGGAAGCGAGGAGAGAGAGAGAGAGAGAGAGAGAGTCGATGCAGCGCCTGGATGCGAGCTAAAATGTATTTTTTTCTTCTCCTTCTCTCCCTTTCTCTCTCTCTCTCTTTCTCTCTTCCTTCTTTATCTTCCCTTCGCTCGTGGGTAGGTTGGATTACCAATCCGGGGATCGTGGAGCATGTATTTCCATTTTTTTCCCTCCTTTTCGCCTTTTCCATCCATTTCGCCCCCTATCTCTATCCCCCTCCCCCTCTTCCCTCGATCCTCTTTCTCTTTTTCCCGTGGACCTAAGGGTCGCGGATCGGACAGAGCCTCCACCTCCGCCTCCACTTCTTCTACCCACCCTTTCTACCCCACCGGCCTCGATGCAAATTATCGAGTTGAATTTTTGAAGGGCCACGCTGTTTCGCGTCCACGAGGAACCAGGGGGAGGAGGGAGGGAGAGAGGATGAATCGTGGAGAGCGATCGTGGATGCGTGGTTTCGATCGAACGAAACTCTGAACCAGGTTTCAGTGACGAGGATGGAGAGGCTTCGAAATTTTATCCGGAGAGGCTTCGTTTTAATAACTCTCAGAGAGGGAGAGAGATCTTGTTCGCCCGCGAAACAAGTCGAAGTTTTTAGATCCGTAAAGTGGACAGAGATTATTACATCCGTTACATCCTTGGACGAAAATAAATACTTCGTTTATTATTGTCGAAAGTTATTAGATTCGTAGCGACTTTTCACGCGGAGGAGAATTCCGTCCTCGATCAATTATTGTGATCACTCTGCGAAAATTCTCGACTAATATTAAATTAAATAGCTTCTTCGCGCTCTCTTTAACCCTTCTTCCCTTGCCGCTTAATCGAGAGATGCTGGATCGATAGTTAATTTTGAAAATTAACTATGGAGAGGAAAGTATTCGAGATCGTTTTCGTACAATTTGATAAAATTTTCAAAATTGTAATATACCTTTGGATATCAGAGTGGAAACAAATTCGAGAATAAGACATATTTTCGAGGGTTTTATCCGCTTATTAAGTAAGAGAAAGAGGTTAATCTGTGGATTAATAAAATTAGCGAATATGAATTGAGTTTTCTTTTTTTTTTTTTATCTTTTTTACGCGTGTCGCCTGATCGATCCGTTTCATGTCAAGACCACGAAATAGAGATTTGGGTCGGCAACCCTTGCAGGAAATGTCAGACAAATGTCAAAGGTTGACATTAGACGGTCGGCAAACGCGATTTCGAGGCCTGTTCAATTATTCTTCTCATTATCAGATCTAATTCGAAGTGTCACGTGACCAATCTCGATACCATCTGCCACCAGACGGATGGATTTAAGAAGGGATGAACCGATCCAAAGAACCATTTCCTTCCCTCCACCTTGCTCTCCTCTGGCTCGAATTTTAAAATAGACACGAATCTTGGCGCTGACTTCCGGACGGATGATGGGTGAAAACCCTCAGAGATTTTTTTCCTCCCCAGGTGCTTTTCTCGTAGGGGTGAGAATTTTTAGTGCACGAGAGTGGAGAAGTGACATTTTCTTTTTTTTTTTATACGTAACCAAAAAGTATTTCTGAGATACGGTCACTTGAAAGTAATATCCCTCAGGATAAATATTCCTGTTGTTGGGAATTATTTTTAGTCGAAACTATTAAGAAAAAAATATAATTTTTCCATCTGAGATGTAACGACGAGTGGAAACGGAATTTCTCAGAATTCAATCGAAATAATTCGAAATAATTACCCCTAAAAACACGAATAATACGCGGGAGCGAGAGGAAGAGCAAGAGAGGAGTAATGAAAAGCAATTGGAAATTTCGTTTCGATAAAACTGTTCGCGAGGGGGTGAGTCCTCGTCCGCGCTGACCGTCCCCGCATCAGGGGATGCATGCACATCCCCTCGCGTTCGTTCTTGGACTTTCTCGCAAGAATCGGTTTCACGAGCCACCTGTGGAGCGACGGACGAAAGCATCGCCCTTTCCACGCCTTATGGTGTCCCTTAAGCTCTTAAGGTTTCTAGGTCGGCCCTACGACCTTTCGATTTACGGGGGCGTAAAATTCGATCTCTCTCTCTCTCTCTCTCTCTCTCTCTCTCTCTCTCTCTCTCTCTCTCTCTCTCCCTCTCTCGTATCGATTCGCATTTATATCGAATTGAACGATTGAGGATAACGCGTTTATGGAATTATCGCCATGTTGTGTGTTCTTTTTACGATCGATTTCGTGGTTTTTTTCGATCGTTAATCGTTTTGTAGACAGAGGATAAGGATATCGCGAGGATTAAAGCGTTATATGATAGGATTTGGAATTTATATCGTGTCGGTTAATCAGAGTTTCTTGTCGATTGTGTGTCCACTTTATGCACGAATCCTTCACGAATTCGTTACGAATCACATATAGGTATTATTTAGGAATAGATTAAAATTTTCAATTCAGAAGCTTAAGTTATATAAGATTGTTTTTTTTTTTTTTTTATACTTTTGTTATTTTATACTGTTGAATAATAGTCGCTTATTATATTTCTAGTCCTTTTTAACGTCGAACAAAATCGATACAAAATCGTTATTAGCTACTTGCGAAAACTTTTTTTCTCAAAATTGTCTATCAAGCTGTATCTATATCTACAGTTTTTTGCCGAGATTCAACCTTTTCGATCTAAAATATTTTCCAATATTATCCATCCCATTTAGCATCCTGCACAATTGAAAAATCAAGAAATATTTACTTCTTCCACCCTCGAAAAATTGGCCAAATATTTTCCTCTCGAGCGTTTCAAAATATTTTCCAACGTGATATATCCGGTTTAAATGCAAAAATTCGAAGATATCTCTTAAAAATCGTTCATCCTCCCTCTCTTCCACCCTTCCTCCCCTCCCCCCCCCCCTAAAAATAGATTAAATAATTCAATGTATTCCGAATCTCGTATCGAGAAACTTTGGGGATAAAATTTTGCAAATCGAATTGAATTTGTAGAGAGAGAAAGAAGTTTCGTCATCCACCTCGACAGGCCACCCTTTCACAGGCATCCGAGTCCTTCGAGATGGATACGTGACCACACGCAAGGTCCTCGTAGTTGCGGAGGGGTTCGGGAGGTCGTGAGAAGGGAAACGGGGTCATCCCTTAATGTCCCTGGCTTCCATCCACCCTTGTCCTTGTCACATCCACGGTGTCTCTCGTTCTAAACCGTCCACGCTCTGGTCTAGACACCAGAGACGTTACGAGAGCACACACGAGCTATCGAGGAAAAGAATTTTTCTCCCCCCAATTAGTGGGACGACCGATGATTTACTAGGGACAAATTCTTCTCCCAAGGAAGATTTAAGGAATTTCTCTCTCTTTCGCGTTCACAATCGATATTCAGATTTATTTTAAAGGCTTTCAAATGGTGGATTCTTTTTTTTGTTTTTTCGTAGATTGAAGGTTTCGTATAAATTTAATCAATTATTTTTTCTAGCTAGTGATTGAGACGATGATAATTTTTTTTTTTTTTCGTTTTTATTCATTGATATAATGTGATCAATTGTAATATTGTTGAGAATTATAAGTTAGGCTGATACAATAATGGGGCAATTAAAAACTCTTAGAAAGATACGAAAGTTAGAAAGCTTTTCATCGATTCTTTCTTCTGGTCTGCTGTTCCTCCATTTCAAAGCAAAAACCACTTTTACTCCTTCGATTGGATGGCAGCATTTTAATAAAAGTCAAAGTAATAAATAAGTGGCGGTTAAAACACACACTAGTCGAGCAATAAAGGGTTAAAATAGTCGAGGATGTATTATTACCTTACCATTCGATCAAACCTCCCGTCACTTACTTCCAAATCGATTCTCCGAATCGTGAGACTTGTGCAGCCTGTCCGTCCTGTAACTAATTTTCCACACACGCGCGCGCACACACATACACACACACACTCCTCCCTACTTTCGAAATACGCGTAAGAAGCAAGCGTGCGGGAGAAATATGGTTCGCGAGGGGGAGAAGGAGGAGGAGGAGGAGGAGGAGGGTCGGTTTGTTTGTCTCAGAAGGCCGAGTGATGCCCAAGGTCACGGGCTAAGCCCGCCACCCTCGTCTATGTTGTGTCTAGACGGTGCTTTTTACCCCTCGCCACCCTCTTTGCCATCCTCGACCCTACCATCCGCCCACGCCAGCTCCTCTCTACCTCGTATCATCATACTCCGCCACCTTGCCAACCCTCTCCATCCTCCCCCTCCCCCCTCTCCATCAATTATTGACGCTATTTACGCGGCTTTTGGAAAGTACGTTCGACGAACGGTGTTGCTTCGCCACGGATCGAAGGGGATGGAGTATTATTTTTCTTTCGATTCTTGTTTCACTTTGTGATCGTTGATTAATTTATTACGACGAACGAAGAGTAAAGTGCGTGTATGATTTACGAAAATCGATTTAATATTTCGAGGAAAGCAACAAAGAACACGAGATCGATCGATCGTTTCGAGAAATGTAATAATTCTGATTTGGAAGATAGTAAAGTAACCTTAAAGTTAAAAATGAAAATCGGTTGAAAATTCAATATTCAAAATCGAATGTTTAAATATAAATTAAAAAGAAATCGATTTGGAGGAAAATAGGATGGAGTTTAAATATAAAAGACTTAAAGAAAAATATAGATAGTATATTCGTTCAAAAATTAATGTAACGATTAATAAAATAAGAAATTGATAAAAACGTGATTAATTGATTCTAATGCTATTTATTTATTATTAGCTATTATTTATTTAGCTATTTTTTTTTATTGAAACAAATTTATCAAGCGACAAAAGAATTACAGAGATTAAATAAAATTAAAATAAAATATGAATAAAGAGGAAAAATCATATACATTTTCAAATTGATTAAATTTTTCAATTAGAAATTAAACGTAACGTTTATTTATATTTCGTATAATAATATTTCTTTATTCTTTCCGTTCCAGCAATGCAACCCCCATGACAAGGAGAGCGACTATTGGGGCGGCGGACGGGGCGCGAAACAAGGTTACGAGGTGAGCGAACCGCTTGCACATATTTTAGCAGAATGGCTGGAATTTTCACGGTCCCCGTGCTAATTCTACTTAGTGAAGCGCAGCACTTTCTGTTGCAGGCGAAAATGAACGCGGACCACGGCCAATTGCAGAAAGGTGAGTGTTGTCTCCTTACCTTCTTAATTGGATCTCTTGATCACGCCACGCCTCCTGCCACCCTGCGTACGATTTTTTTTAATTACGCTCCCTCCTTCTCTCTTCGTTTCTCTCCACGTAAAAAAAAAAAAAAAAAAGAAAGAAAAAAAAAGAAAAGAGAAAAAAAAAACATTTTCGACATGGAATAAACGCGCGGGCCAAGAAGCGCGCAAATATTGGCACTCAATATTCGATAGTGCGGCCATTCACGGATATTGAAATAACAGAGGTGAACGACGACACGGAGGATGGAACGTACTCGTCTCGTTCCATTTTTTTTCCACGTTTTTTTTTTTTTTTTTTCATTTTTTCCGTTCTTTTTTTTCTCCTTTCTTTCTTTCTTTCTTTCTTTCTTCCTTCCTTTTTTCGCGAATTTTGTCTCGTTCGAGGGTGCAAACGTATAGAGAGGGTCGGTGTTGACTTGACCCTCGCGGTTTTTTCACCGCTGAGAATGCGAATTTTCAAAAAACGCGAGTATATATGGGATAATTAAGAAAATTGTTTTTTTAGGAACCTATATTCTTTTTTTCTTTTTTTTTTTAAGATCGTGAGATGTTCGCACGAGTTAAAAAAATTTAGACGAATCCTCGTTCCTCTCGTTGTGAAAAAAAACTTATAGTTTTAAAGAAAAAAAAAAAAAAAAAAAGAGAAAAAGGGAAACAAACTTTGAAGGAGACACACATTGAGGCCGATGGAAGAAATGCAGATTACGTGTTCGTTGGTCGATTCGTAACACAATGCGGACGAGACAACGAGGATGATTTCATCGCGCTAACCAGAGGTCTCTGGTTAAATAATCCTATAGGAGGAGAGAAAAAGATAAAGAAGAGACGGAATGGAAAGTGACGCGCGTTACGTGTAAACACAAGTCTGTTCGGTGTCTGGAACCGGTTGTAACTTTGCATCCGTGACGTAAGATGGTCGATTAGGATCGAAGCAGGCGGCGGGTCCGCTTCAGGCCAGGACAAAAAACACGCGTGAACGCGAATTCATCATTCCAATCCGTGTCCTCGTCGTCGATTCTTCCTTTTCTTCTTTTCTTCTCTTCTCTTCTCTTTTCTTTTTTTTTTCCTCCCCCTTCCTTTTTTTTCGGCTGGCCCGTCACCGAACCAGGATCTCTCCTTTCCACCTTCGATCGATGGTCCTGCGACTGCGACCTCTAATTCTCCGCTTCCGCCTTGTGCAGCCTCTGTTGCGACCTCTGCCTCGCCTTAGAAAGTCACGCTTAGTCACTCGTATAGTCGGATTTCGGAATCGCGATGTTTTTGTGGATCGAGAAATGAGCGGATCAATAGTCGAGAATTTTCAAATTTAAGAAAATTTGGAAAGATATATTATCGTCCGTGTAACCTTTCGATCAATGCGTTTAATTTTTGAAACTCGAAAGAATGGATTTTCCATCCATCTATCGGATTAATATTGGAAGAGGACTAAAAGATAATCGCGTTCATTGAAAGAACAAATCGTAACGTTTCTTCCACCGTTGATGGAATACAGAAAAAAAAAAAAAAGAAAGAAAAAGAAACATCCCTCCTTTCCAAATTGCTGGTGAATCGATTTGGAAGAATGAGCAAAAGAATGGGAAATTTTGAACGAGGTTTTTCGTTGTTACGAGGGAGAGACGAGATCATCGATCGGCGTTTTTCTGAAGCGAGAGGGAGAGAGAGAGAGAGAAAGAGCGCCGGCGGCAATGACCTAGGCCATTCACAGACCGTCATTTTTTCCCCCTGTGCTCTCCCCGAAGGGATTAAGTAATCGGTGGCTTCACTCGTAAAAGGTGAAGCACGTTTCCATAAATGTTTTTCACTGCCAATGGCACGCGCGACGTGTCGTGTAGATCGGCCATTTACGAGACTCACGTTTTCCCTTACCGCGTATAGGAGGCTTGCTCCGAAGGGGCAACCGATGGTGTACCGATTCACCCGATAAATCGTGAAGAAATCGGGCGAAACCAAAACCGCTCCTTTTGTCCATCCCCTTCCATTTTTTCTTTTCTTTTTTTTCCCTCGCCAATTCACGCGTATTTTTTTTTTTTCTTCACTGCGTGCGAAATGATCGTAAAATTGGCAAAATTGTTCAAAGATTTTAAAAGGTAATTAATACCATTACTATTAAAAAAGAAAATTATATTTTTGGTATATATACGAACATTTCTTCCTTATTAAGAATAAGTAATCGATTAAAGATGAGTAATCGATAGATCGAATCAATTGATTGTACAATAATTTTAACCTTGCTTTTCGATTGCTTGAATTTCACGAATTTAAGAATTCGATCGATGAAACAATTACTGGGAATTAATCGAAGAGATTTATAGAGATTGAATCTCTTAAGTGGGGTAATTTGCTTTGGAAATTTTATATATTGATTAAACGTTGCGACGAAACGTATCGAATCTAATTAGAGAAATTTTGAAAGGATGAAACTTGGAAAAGAATATATCGAGAATGGAGGGGCACCATGGGGCGATCTCTGGCTTCATGGTTTTGACGACCAAATTTCGACGACGTCATGCGATCCGTGCATTAAGGATTAGTGGATGGAAACGGGTGAACCCTCGAGGCTGATTTTCGGGGCCCCGGGAAGAAATTCGGTTCCGAGACACGCGAGGCGACGATAATCACAGCTACGAAGATTGAGTTATTATTAACTCAACATTGTTACCTTCTTACTTGGAACTCCTTGTTGGAATCTATTTCCTTCTGCAAATTCAAAAATTGATAATCGAAATAGAAAAAGAGTAGAATAAGATTCCTCGCGGAGAGCAGAAAGCGATCAGAAATGGAAATAAAAATTCTTATTAATCAGAACAGAAATATCCATCCCCTAAGATTGGATGGCTAGATTAAAATCCGAGTTGTCGCAACTGAGGAATGAAAAATTGGAACAGAAACAAGTTAAAATTGGATTTCACGAGCGAAAATTATTCTCCAAGAATAAACCGCTTGGTGCGCGATCGAGCGCGCAAATAAACGAGGAAAAGGGATAAACTAATAATAACTAGACGGAGCCACCGGTCATTAAGAGCCGAAAATCCGAGGGTTGCCACTAGTCGACTCTTTCGTCACGATTCCCGTTTTCGAAACGTAACCGACGGCAAATGGCCGTCCCCCCTAATGACCGAAGCACCTTCGCCATGCTTAATATTCCCCCTGTTCTCCCCCTCTCTTGGATCCCATCACTCGGCTCGGATTCGACCCGTTAATGGAACGGATAACGACTTTCACCTATGCCAATCGGTCGCCTCTTCTTAGATGCAGCTTCGTTTCGAACCGAACGATGCTGTGCTCGCGTCGCCACAGGTGGTTAACAACGGAGCAGCGTTTCGAGAGGGAATGATGGATATATATCTTCCTTCTGTCCGTTGAAATTTTTCTTTTTTCCCTTCCTTCTTGGCCGAATTTTCCTTCCTTGTTGTCAAAAAATGAAAAGGGCTTGATCACGTTGATCCGAAATCGGCTCTACTCTTGGACGATGGAAAAAATTCCAAAACCGTAAAATCGTGTTTAAAAATGTTTTGAGACAGTTGATGATGATGATGATGATGATAATAATAATAATGATGTTGGGAAGGAGCGAGTCCAATTTGCCAAACCAATTGCGAAAATAAATTTCGCAACCGGTAGTCTCCGATTATCCGCGCTTCCTTCATTAAACCAGGATCGCGCTAATGACGATAAATATCGAAATTACGCCTCGAGCAATGAGCCATTGAATCTTCGTGCGAAAAATCACCTATCTCTCGATCACCTTCGTTCTAATCAGAGATACGATCAAAAATATGTGTGTAACGAGTCGTAAATATTTTGCTTCGATTTCCATCCCGTGAGACCGGAAAAGCGATTGCGAAACGATGTTTATATTCGAATTTGTCGTAAACAAATTGGTATCTCTTTTTTTTATAAAACTGGTATCGAGACCCTTTTCTCGATTCGAATTGGCCGCCGAATTACGAAATATCGCTTTACGATCGGTGTGCGATTTGCTTCGAGTGGAATTGTGGAAATTGGAAATTGATTAAACGTTAGATCATGGTGCATACATTTTTGAACATTTTATGCTATATATGTGTGTGTTAAAGCAAAGCAAAGTAAATGCGAGTTATAAACAAATTACACGATGGACCATATTTATAAATTTTAATAAATCCCGACTCGAGGATGAACAATTTAAAAAAGGGATCGATAGAATCATTCGATTTTAATTCAGATTTTAAATCGCACAGTTTAATAATCGTTCAATTGTGTTGCGCAACCGATGAATTTATTAATCTTTGATTAATAAACTATTGTTACCTTATCACTTCATCATCTGGAAATCCTCTTCTCTTCGAATTAAAAATCCTTGAGAGAAAAAAAAAAAAAAAAAGAAGAAAAAAGGAAAAAATAAGGTTACGGTTGAAGGATCATGATCAAACGATAAACGTTTCGTTAATTTGCATTAATATACTGCTCTATTGTTCATCATCTATCACGATTTCTTAAACTTCCGTCGTTTAAGGATCCTCTTCTTCGTAGAGAATATTAAAAATAGCCGAGAGGAAAGAGAGAAACAGGTGAGAAGTTATGAATGGTCGAAGTGAAACGTCATCAATGAGGCCATTCGCAAAATTCATCTTCCCTCTTTCTTGGATCCAAGAGCAATTGAAAGGGAGTTCGAGTTTCGGTAAGGGCTCGTTTCTCGGTTGATATGTTTCTGTAAAGCGACGTGTAAATCGAGTCGTTGCTCATCGACGAGCTATACCACGAGTCGTCGTGATATAAAATCCAGCAACGACGTCGTAAAACTCGAAGGCCGGGCGGTAAAATCTCTGGAAAAGCCATCAAACTGAGGCGATGGGTGGAGGAAAAGCTCGAAGGGAGGAGAGGAACCCGTAAAAACACCTGAAGTACCGATCACCCGAGCCAGACGTTCGCCAGACGGTCTGTCTGGTGAAAAAATTCCAACTTCCCTTACTTAAA